TATCGAAGAGAAACGAACACGCGACTTTCGGTTCGCTGGATAAATCGTAGTTATACCGGACATCGCGTATTGACCAATCAAAGCTCGTTTATGTACTTGATGGTCGTTCCAACTCGGATCGCGCCTCTCGAATCCCTTTTCGAGCACGAATCTAAATTGATGATTCGAATTAAGCAAAACCAATATGTATATTTTCGTGAGAAAAATTTTTATTGACCTTTCAAAGTAAAACGAGTTACACTAATAGTTTTTCAATTTTTTCGATTTTGTAGGTGTTATTTTAATAATTCTAATTTCTAAAAAAATATAAAAATATTTTTATATTGACCAAGTTAGATTAGGACGTGATACAACGATTAACAATTCTCATTTATTTGAACTTAATGTTTTAAAATATTTTTTATCACTAAAATTTTGCTTGTTAGTGGTAAAATTAAATAATTTTATATTTTGTTTTATAATATTTGAGAAAGTAATTCGTATAAATTTTAATTTTTTACTAAATTAATTCTATTAATCACTTTTTTTTTAATTATAATATATGAGTATTTGAAAAATCTTAAAATATTTATCATATATCGAGATTGAAAGCATGTAAGCAACTAGCAGTTGCGAGCTTTCCATTAGTTTACAAAAGCTTCGTTTTACTCCGCTTTCTGGATAAAATCTCAAAACGTAAACATTTATAATACGGGTAAATATCGAAAGCAGAAGGATACTCCTTTCTTTCTTCCGGATGTTTTTGTCGTTCCTTAAACGGTGACGTGCATGACCGCTTTCAGATAAAGTCTGTAGTAAATCCGAACAAAGTAGAAGCACACGTGGATGCAAATGGAACGCGGTTCAATATGTACAATTGCACAGACTCGGCTACTAATTAATTACTCTATTACAATTCAAACATAATATCAACATAAGAACCAACTCGAGAAAAAGAATAATTAATAATCGCTTTTAATCGTGCAAAAATACATAATTATTTCTACGTATTTATTAAAAACTGAAATAAAGAAAAAATGTGGTAAATCCTGTTTTAGACCGCGATGTTGTCTTTAAAATATGTTATATAATCCTTTTTAACGTAAAATTTCTTGATTCTTTATTATCCTTTAAATAAATAACGAAGAATTTACCGTCATTGTTTAATTTGATTATATAGTTGAGTAGTTAAGACAAGCTACCTTTAACTCTTTCTGATGCTTCTTGATTTATTATTACGATGTGATGGGGAGATCGAGATGCCTCACGGAAACTAACTGTCAGCGCCGGAAGCGTTAGATCTGTGCTGGTGTAACACCAGGAAGTACGACCGGTAAATAATATGAGGATAGAATCGAACATGCAGACAGAATGCTTAATCCCGCGGTTACTGACCTCCGTCTTTCAGTAGATTTATGTGAGCTCAGTTTATCGCTCGACGCACCCAGTTTGTTGATATCAAGCTGCAAGTTGATCTTTTTAACACATTCATTTCCGTAGATTTACGCAAATAGAAGTAAAATACGTTGCATAACCTGATTCTCGTTTTCTTATTTAATGTAAAGTGATTCGTGTTATCGATCGCAAGCCAAGAGATAATTCTACATAAAAAGTAAGACAAAAATAAAAAATAAAGTCATTTTGTGCGGGACATTTGACACTGACTTCCTTTTGTCTAAAGAAAGTCAGTCAAGTGATCTATAAGATTTTTTGAAAATAATATTGACTAACGCGTTTGTGCTAATATCTGTTTGTAACTGTAAGGCAAGATTTTCCCTCTGGGATGGTCTTTTCTCCGGACGAGAGGGAAGAATTTATGGCATGGGGGAACATATTCTTTCGATGAAGCCGTAGGATGGTGCGCCAATACAACCGTCTGCAACTTCGTGTCAACATATGGACGGATATTTCCGTTTCGTGCTGGCAACGACACACTGCGCGATGCTTGTAACGGAAGACACGTGAAAACACATTCCGAATCTAAACTTTACAAACACATTTGGTTATCTATCCTCCGCACCTTCCACGACATATCGTAAACGACGGATTTATTGAAAGAACAAATTAACGCTCGATCGTTTATGGACGAATCGTTCTCGTGGGATGTCTGTGTAAAATGTTATTTCTCGAAAATGTACAGCGCTTACTGACACTTTCGAGAGTAGTCGTAGAAAACAATTTTCCAAAGATGAATTTTGACATTATTCCTCTTGTGCTAAAACGTTCCTCTATATTAAATCAAAATCTTTTTATCCTTATATTATTTAAGAATAGTTTGAAAATTATATTCAATTCATAGAACATTTCAAGTAGATACAAAAGATTCTCGATCGGATATACCGATGTGGCCTAGTTGTGAAGTCAATTAATGGAGATGAAGATAATTGTTGATCATAGGGTTTTGTCTTACCTATTTATACATATTTTATTGCCAGTATCGCAGATGGAATTGTTAATTTTGACTGCTGCACGAATATCTACAATTCATTTCCGGTTGTAATTAAAGCGCGGCCGGATGCTGGCTGAGATCATATTTTCGCTGTTAAATGCACATGTGCTACAACCTCGCCCGCTTGACTCTCTTAATTAAGAGACGGCTCAGTAGCTCATGCTTTTATTAGATATTCTTTATACGATGTTCTTCTTTGCTAATCGAAATATTAATCCTCTATAATTATAAAGTTTAGTAAACTTATAATGTTGTTACAACTCGACTCGTTAAAATTAATAGATTTACGACGGAATAATGTTAATCGCACTACTTTTCTTTAAGTTTTAATTAACATTAATATTTAGTCGAATGAGACAATGCTGCAGCGGTCTAAGCTGGATCACGGGTGTTTCTGTAATGAGTTATTCAAAATTATTAAGAACGATATAAAATACGTAAACAACATCAATAATCGTTAAATTGTTAGTCAATTTAACTTGTGATATTACTGCGGTAGTTTATTAACATTAAAAAAAAAATTTCGACGCGCAATCGAATAATTACATACGTAGTATATAAATTCACACGCAATTATTTAGAAGCACCCGTGATCCAGCTTAGACCGCTGTGGCATTGTCTCATTCGGTTTGAAATTTAGCGGTCCAATAAGAATTGATATTAATATTTAATATTCAATATACATTTAGATTTTCTATTCTATCATATTTTTCTATTAAATTTTGAAAAAGTTAAGTTTATTTAATAAGGATTTAATGAACAATGAGATTTTTCGTTTATTGCTGCTTAAAAGCTTGGTTTGTAAATTTATTCGCGTTTACAATTATTTATTTATTACAAATTATATAATGTCATTTGTTAGAAAGTTAAAATCTCAATTTGTTTGTTAGAAGAAATGAATTTTATATGCATTGGAATTGGAAAATTCTTTACTCACGTAACATCGTAAATTTGGGAGTTTCATTATCGTATGTGTCGACCGGCACGATCGACCATTGGAAAACAACGAAGTTGTTCGCCGAATACTAAAGATTTTAAACTTCCGGGGCGGACTTCATCTGACTTATGTGCGCGTTCATCTGCGAACCGATCCCGGATTTTATCCGTTACGTGATCGCGAGATCGCCGGATATCCTTTATAGGCTATTTATGTTAACTTCACTTTGAATTTTAAAGGCAAATTGAATTAACTAATAAAGTAATTTATACTAACATAGCGTGTACGATATCTATTCTTAGGTAAAATATGTATGATTAAATTATTAACAACATATTCTCATTGTTGTCAACAATACATTCTTTTTGAATACAATTTGAAAGTTAGTATAAATAGATTTATAATACACATTAACTTGTGAATAATATTTATAATAGAAAATTTTGTTATAAGAAATTTTTTATTGTAAATATAAGGTAGGCTTCCATTACAATACCTTACTGATGAGTCCAGTATTGGAAGCCGGGACGAAACGCCAACATTACGTGATATTCTTCGCAATATATTAGAATTAATAGAATTAAAGATTTTAATGAATCTCAGGCTCGTAGCCCTATTCTCATATTATTAGTTTTAAATTTTTTATTGTCTCTCTAAAATATTACGAAGTTCTATACTTACTCGTTGAAACAATATTTTTTGTAGTATTACTTTTTTCATTAAGAGATTTGATTAATAACTCTCTAAAATATTACGAAGTTCTACTTACTCGTTGAAACAATATTTTTTGTAGTATTACTTTTTTCATTAAGAGATTTGATTAATATAAACTAAAAATTAAGAGATTGATTATTGAAATCAATTTAAATGCAATGAAAAGGTAATTTTTTACTCTTTTCATACAGAGATACTTAGCTCCGTTATAAAAGTTGTCCAATAAATTCAACACTATCTACAATTGTCACTTCACAGTGCTATAATTAAAGCCAGAGTGATTCGAAAGTGTCATATGAATAGAAATTGGAGAACAATCGATGGAATGATCGAAATTGTATCGCAGTGCTCCGACTTTTATAACACGCAGCAGGCGTGATTCGCGCCTTTATGCGGGCATGCGACAAATGGAACGTGGGAATGCGAGAACTCTTCAAGCGAGTGCGCTATTCTCATAGAAATAGCAATCAATGTTCATGACAGAGAAAGAATTCGTGCGACACGCGCAACTTGGTGATTTTCTCAGAAATTCTGTGCCATTCCAAGATTTGAATACCAAAGGGCGTCTTTGATTGAAGAAAAGCGCAGGAAGAGAAACTTACCTGATTATTACATAGGAGATTGCTAAAGATAGAATTGAATATTTCGCAGAGAGATTTAACTTTCCACGATAATTTCAAAAAGCGGAAACATTTCCATGTCGAAGTCTAGAGATAGCTACGAACTTTTTGTAAGAAATGAGATACTTTTAAATGAAACCTGGACTATAGAATTGACATTCGGACTTATATTACATTTTGTTTTGTTCTTAATTATGAGTCTGACAATCTATAAACAATATTAATATATATTGAATAGCCAGGTTTAATGATAACGAGAGCTTTCACAAAGAATTAAGATTTACACTCGATTGGTACTTACCTTTATTGGAGCTTTTGTGTCTTCTTCGCTTAGTCCTGTTGCAAGACAATTGTTTGTCCTTGTTGCAATGTATACCATCGATATCATCGAGCGGTACTGGAGCTGTATCTGTTTCCAATAGATTTCTGGATCTTCCCGTTTGTCGTTCAAGAGTCGCAATATTACTGGATGTCCTTGTTTCTTTCCCGAGGAAAGTGCCGATTGAGTGTCTTCTTCGGCTGGCCGTTGTGGGAAGAGTAGAGGAAACATTATAATATCTGCAAAATATTTTCCATTATTCTATAGCTGTTTTTTTTATAAATATCTATTCTATTTAGAATATGCAGGATATTTCAGTTTTTGTAAACTATTTTCAACGGTAAATTATTTGGTAATGGAACTAAAGATGTAATAAACAAAATTTGTAGCTTAATTACAAAGATATAAAGTAGTTATTTAAAATTGGTTAAATCGTTAAATTAAAAAACAACTTCCTTCAAAAAATTAAGTAATTGTTTTATTAACCTGGCATCATCTACACCGAAGAAAACTTCCGTGGCATCATCATCATCATCATCGTTGTTGTTATGATTGTCACCATCATTTTGATCTTTGGAATTACTCGCTACACCGCAATAAATCATATCATTAGACAGAAGTTCGCTGGCAGATTTCAAGACTCTTCTGGTCCGACCTGGATGACGCCGATCCTTTTCAGAGTGCGAATGTGACCTGCGTCGACAAGATAATTCAAAATTCGTACTCCTAATAACAAAATGTATATAACTGAATTAAACGCAAGCAGCTGAACAAATTAGATTAAATTAATTCAGATTGTGCGCCTCGATATTTATGAGAGAAAAAAAAAGACTTTTACCTGTGAGGTAAATATGGTGACGGTGGCGCAACGTCGGACGGCCTCGGGTCGCCTTTGAGGAACTTTTGAGTACGTTCATGTTCCGCATTCGCGCTCACGGACCGGAAGAGATTGCGGAAACTCCTCCTTTTGCCGCATCCGGGATAGATCGCGCCGTTTTGCGACAGCATCGGAACACGCTCCTCCGTTGGTGTCGACGGTGTTGACGTGCCTGTCGCGTTGCCGCAACCCTCGTGATGCACATTAGACGTGAATTCTGAGATCAGGACGCCACTCTGGGATGAAGTAGCCGCACCCATCTTGCAGGTCCTTCGACGAAATAAAGCAGAAAAACTCCTGGGCGACGTCGGGGATGCTGACGTTGTCGTCACTGTCGCTTTCGACGACGATGTCCCGCCAGACAATGAAAAGTACGATGGATTATCTGTAAACATACGTATCGAACGGATCCAGGTCACGATCTTGACTCACAATATTTTCTTTTTCGGTTGTTTACGAGGAATTATTAAATCATTGTTGCGATGTGGTCTTCGTACATGTTGCTTTAGTGAACGCTACGTTAAAGCGATTCGACATTGGAAAAGACACGAGATGGCAGAAACACTCATGAGATGTCCATCATTAACTTGTATAATTAACACAAGGATTTTATATGTTTTGTGTAATTAATATCGTTATATTAATTAACAAATCTCTCACGTACGCGCACAATCACTCTAAAACCGCGTTTAAATCATCAACAGCAAGGAGTAACTGTTAGGCTAAGTAATTATTTAATTATATTAATCTAATGTAGCATTCTCTCTTTAATGTCTTATTGAATCACTGAGTTTGATCTTTGATTTGATTCACTCACACCGCGAATTACAATAGAATCTAAATGAAGATTAGACGTTAAACATCTTTTTTTTATTGTTTACTTTTCAATTTTTGTTTCTTTTTAACAAGATCTGTGCGCACCGTTACATTAACAGCATCGCTTATGTGATTTGCAAAGGAAACGTTCGTTTAATTTGAGATTAAAATGTCATTTGAAGAATGACACTTGCTCTTATTACGACCCGAGTTAATGCTATAGCCACGACTAGGCTAATAGCGAGTTCACCTGTGACTGTGAGACTCGTGTTACGTTCATGGGACACCATGGACGAGTCTTGCAACGATCATTGGGTTGGGACATAGTGGGGGGATACATCGGACCGGACGTTGCATTGTTCCCCCACTCGATAAAATACACCGACAGAAATACGCGGTAGCTGCGCCGGAAATGCACCTTGATGTGTGAGCCGTTTCACTGAATCCTGGTGAGCATTATTCGGCTAAATTTATTTAACTCGCTACTCGGATAAAATTTTATCCATTGTTGTCGTTTATTTTCTTTCGCTACTAGCACGTTCTTTTGTTTATAAAAGCAACGTAAGTTTCAAAATTTTAAATAGTGTTTAAAAATATATATCTACGTTTATTTTTAATTTTAATAATATCGAAAACTTTTATCATTAACAAATAAGGTGAAAATATTCAAGGACTCTTAGTATAAAAATAATCAATATAAATCAGAAAAGGCGATGTAAGAGTCAAAAGATAAAAAATTCATTTAATTTTTTATTATTAATACGAAGAGCAAAGAGATATTCAAATTATACATATTTATTATTGCTTATGTTTCGTAAATTCAAATTAAAAAATGTGCCGGAATCACATTGCGGATTACATTTGCGATTTCGACCGACAAATGTTACGAGCAAGCTACTGTTTGCTTGCGAGTGAAAATGAGAGATGTGAAGGATGCACAATTGTGCGTGAACGACGTGTCCCGCGTGCCGAATGGCATCTCTGAAATCTGTATGCGATCTCTGCGATCTCCGTTGCGATTGTACCAGGAAAGAATAAAACTCACCGATTGCCATGATGACTTTCTTTACAAAAGAGCTCAGTTGAATGCCAAGGATATCTGCAAAACAAAATACATTATATTATAATTTATTTTCATATTATTATATACACTGTTATATGTCACGTTGCTGTTGAAATTTTCTCCGTTTTTAGGGTCACAATGCATTTAAGCATTATTTACCTGGGGATCGGAGATCAAGTTGTGCGGTTAAGAATGTTTACTAGGAAGTATTGGATAATTTTCGGAAGAATAATTGATAGTTGATTTTATTTGAAACCTCAATCTCTTCTCTCGTTGTCTTTGTCCGCCTTTAGTAGGCATAAAGGTAATATAAAGGAATTATGGCGTTTCGCTTCCATTACTGGACTTATCAGTAAGGCATTGTAGTGGAAGCCTACCTTTATGCCTGAGAGTTATTCGATCGAGATTCTATATAAAGAGATATACGCGTATCAAAGCACTTGCGAGAATTTGCGAATATCGATAGACCTCTGATGGCGGGTCGATGTAGTAATATTCTTCGCAATGTTTATCCAAAGTAATATATGTATTCCCCTCCTAATTTGCGCGCCGAACAATCGTCGGTCTTGAAACGCAACTCTATCTGAAAAGTTCCCCCAAATTGAGTGCCGAACAATCGTCGGTCTTGAAACGCAACTCTAATAATCTAAAATAACGTCCCTTTAATCAAATTATAATTTTAAACGCATCTCTTCGCTCGCGTAAATTAAAATGTTTGTAATAAGGCTCAATATGTTTTTAAGAACTAATATAGGGAAACAGGGCAATGAGCCAATAAATATTACGTTAAAAATCTTTTTAAATTAATTTAATATATTGCGAAGAATATTACGTAATTATGGCGTTTCGTCCCAGCTTCCACTACTGGACTCATCAGTAAGGCAATATATTAAATTAATTTAAAAAGATTTTTAACGTAATTTATTGGCTCATTGCCTTGTTTCTCTATATTAGTTGTTAAAAACATATTGAGCCTTATTATAAACATTTTAATATAAAGGAATTATCAATGTTCCTCGAAGGAGTGCTATGGAGTATCCCTTCAGGACCAATCAACACTCCTCAAGATTTGGTAGGACCTATACTTGCGCTTGTTTCCTTAAGATAAGGCAGCAAGGCTCCGCGTAAGCCCTACTCCCAACTCTACGAGTTTAGTCCTATAGATAAAAGTTTAGTAATTTATAATAGAAATTCGGTCTTCCTTATGCGAGGCAAATCTACTACATTCTGAATCATATACATCTAAAATTGATTTAATTTTATTAGAATAAAAAAAAAAAGAAGAAAAGGAAAAGACATTCGTCCTCGCATTCAGAAAGATTTCTATTTTACTGTTAATTATTATAGTTAATTGCTAAACGCTAATGTAATATACACTATTACTAATATAACGTTAATATACGGTTTTATTTATACAAGGACTTCTTTGAAAAAAGATCATGGGATATTCTTAGACGTTCTTTAGGATAGATAATCTATGTGACGCATATAGGTATAAAAACGTGATCTATTTGTTGGTTTAAACCAAACATACTTTTCAAAATTAAAAGATATGATAGAGAATTTGAAATAAAAGTAAGATATACCAAAGTGAAAATAAAATACTAGCTAGGAGTAAACTAAAGATAATATATTATATATTTATAATATAATAGGAAAAAGAGATCTACCAACACATATTTCTTTATCTGACAAGAAGAAAAATTTATGCGAAAAATTTACAATAGATACAAGGTATTTTCAAAATTATTTGACAAATAACACAGGTCTACATGGTTTCTTTTTTTTTTATACGAGATTGGTTTCCGATGTATTTTTGTACGCTGAAAACGATTGTGGGGTCCAAAAGTGCCCATCACGTCATGATTTTGAGAAAAGTGGGGATTAAAACCGCGAAAAACGTGTTTTTGGGTGTTTTGATCCCTATTTTTCTCAAAAACCAGATGTGCTAGAGACTTCTACCTATACTCAAATTAAAGCTTGAATCTTACACTACAAGAACCATATATGCAAAATTAAAAAAAAATAAATTATTTTGTATAAAATGGGGTTAAACCTCTACGGCCCTGTTATTACGATCGAAAACTGGGCCGTAGAGGTTTAACTTAATTTAAAGTTTAACCCCATTTTATACAAAATAGTTTTTTTTTATTGGCATATATGTTTCTTGTGGTATAAGAGTGGTATCAAGCTTTAATTTGAGTAAAGGTTGAAGTCTCTAGCTCATCTGGTTTCTGAGAAAAATAGGGATCAACACACCCAAAAACACGATTTTTGCGGTTTTGACCCCCATATTTCTCAAAATCGTGACGTGATAGGCTCTTTTAGACCCCAGAATCATGTTCAGAGCACAAAAATACGTCAAAAACCAGTCTCACATAAAAAAAAAAAAAAAAAAGTGAATTTTGTAGACCTGTGTAATTTATAACTATATTCCACGAAGATATCTATTTTTCATTGTTTTAATTAAAAATTACTGCATTTAATTAAATAGAAAAATTCTATATAATCTGTTTGTAGATTTTTTTTTTAAATATCAAATGGAATCTTTTCTGCTTTTCAGATACAGATCGTGTTCGTATGTTCCGTACGCGTTGGATCTCGCGGCGCTTGCTATCGAAAACTCATGCTGAAGTCTTGATGAAAGAGCTCGTTATCGCGATCACGAATCATCTCTCTCCTGATTCAGAAAATCGCACGCGGGAAAGTGCAAGTGTCCGTCGGACACTTTCATTCATCGCTGAAAATACATGCGAATATTATATTTAGCACGGTGAGAGGCACGCATTGCGCGCACGGGGGACACGACCCGTTTACACTTGTCTGCAGAAGGGGGTAGAGAACGAAGAAATGGGGGTCGAGTGCAAATACGATTCATTCACGTGTTATATGCACGCGACATTATCACGTTGTCATCCGTGTATCTCGCATCCGCTGTTATTATCCGCATAATAGTACCTACCTATCAAGTTGCTTTACGAGGGAATCTCTGCTTTATGAAAAGATTTCTTCCCAAGCGCAAGCACGTTGCGTCGTAATAATTAAAATCTTATTATCCACTAATTGACATAATTTTCACTTGAGCTTTGTAAAATTCATAATTTCGACATTTTAACATATGTATATACAGAACTTATATTTTTATGTTCAAATTATAATTATTAAGTCTACTTTTTCCTGCGTTTTACAATATTAGATATATATTATAATTATTTTTATCAATTTACGTGATTGTGATTAATGATATTAGCTGGGAATCCGTGCCTTTCCTCGAATTTAGTTCAGTAAATATGCGATGCAGCGACAATTTTCTGCTCTCATAGTTGCTGCAACGGTTACTATTTTCGTACGACCAGGAGAGGCAGAACGTGTGCCTGGTAGAGGTAGAGATAAATAGAAAGAGGGGGAGAGAGAGAGAGAGAGAGAGAGAAAAGAGAAAAGGATAGCAAGAGATTGAAAGAGAGGGAAACAGGGTGATTGTACCCATGAAAAGTCTAATGTTTTGGTATGAACACT